TCATTTTCCTTTGTGCTCCATCGCAATTAACTTAAGCAAAAAGAAAACACTCAAAAAAAGAATGACGGATGGGAAAAGGAAATACACCACAAAACAACAAGATGCTGTAACATCTAACTGAAGAAGTCATTCACTGCATCAGACAAACTGATCTGAGTTGAAACCTTCTCAACTGGAATCTCTTTCAGGATGCGACTGTGTTTTATTCCAATTGAAGGAATAAATCCATCAATCAGAAATTGCGTATCGCGGCTCAAACGGTTATAAACGCTTCCCAGAACAAATCGAGAACACTTCGCTCCGTTTCTGCCTGTCAATGCTTTTAAGACCCTGTCATTCATCTCAGCCACAAGCTCCTTCAAAGCTCTGAAAAGGCAACATCCTAAAGAAGTTGTAGAAGCGCTTAACCTACTTTTCGGGGTTGGAGCTCTTTGCGTACCGCTGGAGCATGAGTGTGGTTTTTTTCAAGAGCACCGAATAGATCGAATCTGCATTAGGAGCACAAATCACATCAAGGTGTAGCTCGACCCTCTTCTTCACTTTTCCCATCGTTCGAAAGAGAGGAACCTTGTTGAGAACAGTATTCACGTAGCGATCCAAACTGTCCAAATTTCCCTCGTTTTGTTCCGCTTTGAAAATTGTCAATTTCGGTTGAATTAAGTATCGAGCGATTTGATTTCCTCTCGAAGATTCAAGAATTTTACGATTTTCCGCCCCTTCGATTGACGAATTGAAACTTGGAACCCACTCACTCCCAGCATCCGGATACAGAGCGCCAAGCTGAAATGAAATTGGAACCCTGGGTGTAGAAGAATAAACCACTTTGAGGATGTAGCCAAGATAGAGCTCGTTGTTGTCTCCTGTTTTGCACGTGGTTCTTGCTTCCCAATTTGCTCCTTTTCGGAATCCACGCTCCAAAGAATGATCTCGTTGCAAAGGAGACTTATCTTTATGTAAATAAGCCACTGCTGAATAAATTGTGTGGAAGGGGCGTTGTCGTGGACCCCACAGAGGGCTTCTTAGGTCTCGGCAAGGCAATTGACATTTTCGGCAAACTATTGGTGAAATGAGTTCTGTCCAGGAATTCAAACTGGAAGATCCTTTACAATTGCACAAATTGCACACTTCTATGCTTGCTTCTGTGAAAAAAACCAGAAAGACTAAAATAAAAACAGAGAAGACCATTCGACTGCATAAAACATGGATCATATCGCTCTCAAAAAAAAAGCCTCAAAACCTAAACATGACAACAGACTGGGCCTGGTCAATTGTGTCTTGCCAATGTCTGGCAATCCATTCGAATGGGTGCCACGCAGTGTCGTGTGAGATTTTTAGTTCAATTTTCATTCTTATCGCCAGGTGGGGGGTTTTAATATTGCGCATGCTGTTTGAACTCTCTCCTGTCCCACAACCGGAATCTTGTCCGGACTCACAGTACACTCATGAAAAGCAACCGATTGTCGAGGGTTTGCAGAAGGGGCAGTTCATTCCTTGAGGTCGTCGGTTTCTGTACACTCCCCGCATGGATAAATGACGGTCCCACTGAAAATGATGCCAGCAACTCAATAACGGGAGCCTCGAGGTTGGAAACAGCCATCCTACCGTAAGAATATTCAAATTCGCCTTCCATTTAATTTCCTTCAATTTTTAACAGAAATTCCTTCTCGGGGGCTGACAGACAGTAGGTTTTAATTTTGTGGTTAATTCCCATCTTTTCTTGCTCTAGATTGAAAATTCCTCAAACACCACACAACTTCTCTGAGGTGACAGATCTCATTCGCAAAGATCCCAATCCTACAAAAAATGAGCAGTACTTTAACATTTATGGGGAGTCGCTTCGTTCTGGAAATTTTAATCTCGCTCGAGCAATTCTTCGAGGAAACAGAGATTTTGCGGGCGCCAGTCATCCAATCACTGGAGAAACGGTTAGCTGATGATGTTCAACTCCACTGACTATTTTTTTTTTCAGTCTCTTCACTATCTTGGAAGCAGCCCGCATTTCAGTGGGGGATTTCCAATTAAACGGTTTCTTGAAATCCTTGAAGACATCATCAAAATTGCAGGAGAAGAAATTAAATCAAGAAAAAATTTTCAGAATGAAACTCCACTCGACCTCGCGCTTGCTCAAAGCGCTCAAACGCAGTGCCCGCATCACCTTGCAACACTTCTCATGAAAGCAAGCACTCCCATGGAAAACTGTTTGGGACACGCTGGTCCGCCTTCAGTCATTCCGCCAAAAGCAACGTGCTACTCACTATGTCCAGCAACTCCACCGCAGGTCTCGAAAGTGAACGTCCCAAAGGCAGTTCCGTCGGGGGGGTGCGTGTTTGCCTCATGAAGGGCAAGGCATCTCCCACCAATTGGGTGTGACTCCGATTCGAATGCTCCAAGGCACGCAAACGGGACGTCCAATCTCTCAGCTAGGAGCAGCTGGAGGAGCAGTAACACAAGGATTTCCGAGACCAGCAGGAGGTTTGGGTGGAGCAACAGGTTCCACAGGACTCCAGGCTTCTCCGTTTCTTGCACAGCGAAGACTACCAATCAATCCACACTTGGTGCCAAAATCGACGCCGAGCTCGATGATTCAGATTGCAGAAAAAACGCAGACAACCACAGGAGTCAACATCGATCCAGCGCAAGTTAAGGAGCAGACGAAACAAGTTAAGGAGGCTTCAAAGGACACTCCATTGCCACCGACGCCGACTTTCGGATGCTCAAAGCCGCTTGACCGTCCGAATAACACGAACACATTATTTCATCTTCCGACACCAGCTCCCGAGACCGCTTTTGTTTTGCGTCGAAGACGTCATTCAGCTCCTGTTGCTAGGACAATGTCGACCGCCACACCAAATTCATTCAGAGCTTCTGGTAGTTCTGCAAAAGGCCCGCTTCACAAGAAAAATGCTCCAGCAGCAGACAACAACAAAAAAGCGTTCAGTCTCGGAAATATCTCTACTGCAAGAGGAAATTTCTTTTCTGCGAGAGCACTGAGGAAGAAGAACAAAGTTCCGTTCGTTAGGAGCAGTAACTCCTCCCTCCCTACAACCAGCACCCCTCTCTCCACAACCACCAGCCTCCCTCTCTCTACGAGCAGCAGCCACCCTCTCTCCACAAGCAGCCGCCACCCTCTCTCTACAACCAGCAGCACCCCTCTCTCCACAACCAGCAGCCTCATTCTTTCTACAAGCAGCAGCCACCCTCTCGCCACAAGCAGCAGCCACCCTCTCGCCACAAGCAGCAACTACCTTTTTTCTCCAAGCAGCAGCCACCCTCTCTCCACAACCGGCAGCCACCTTTTTCATAAAGGCAGAAAGCGTTCCTCCATACCGTTTGCACCCGCAAGCCCTGAGAGTGGGTTCGATGACGTTGACGGCCTTATTCTTTCTCGTGTCTCACCTTCTGAAGCTTCCAAAAGAAACGATTTAAGAGTCACGGCGCTGAAGTATGCTGATGTTAATGCTCAGCTGAAGGCCACACTGAAACTCGGAACGGACTCGAATGGATTCAACTACAAAAAGGTGCTGAAGCCAGTAGAGCCTTTCGTGCCGTATATTGCCAGGCTAAGACCCACTCCAAACTATTTCACCCGCAGCAGATTGAGGCGGGTCAGCGACAGCAAGGTTGCTCCTCGATTTCTTGAGGATCAGCGAAGGCTCTCAAAAATTGGAGTTGATATGAGACCTACTGTGACTCCTTCAGCCCCCGTATCTCCTAAAACTCCGGTTAACATTCCGACAAGGAGGTCTTCTTCTGCTGTCTTGTCACGCGTGGTGTCCTCAGGTGCCGCTAAATTGCCACCATCGACGCCCGTGACACCCCTACTGACCCCGCAACCTTTGTTTCCACCTGCATCACCAGTTCCAATTGCGCCATTCGCAAACCGAAGTGGCAGAATGCCTTTAAGAACGACAAGCTTGCAAAACAGCCAAAAACCTCTCGTACGCATCTCACAAGCAAGGTCTTCATTATCTGATCGGCCTAAATCAAGACAAAGCGCCTCGCTGGTCGAGCAATCGAAGCTGATTGTTGCTACTCCAAGTCCGACGAGCTCGCATGGGTCAAGTTCAAAGAAATAATGATCCATTTATGCAATTGCTACATTCTAGAAGCATTTTTTTCATGATTTTTGCAGAACAGAGTCAAACAAATTTCGACTAGTCGGGGATGAATTTCTTTTTCCTGTTGCTTCTTGTGCTTTTACTGGTAGGGATAAACTCCATTGGCGGCAGCTTCGAGCGCCAAAATGAGAAAGAGATCACGGAAGAGATTGAGGACCAGGGCGAAGAAGAAGAAGAAGAGGGGGAGAACGAAGAAAAAGAAGAGGTATTCAATATATTGTGGGTGTTCTTCTTGTATGCCAATGCCCCAGTCTGCCGAAGAAGAACCAGAAACCCCAGGGATTTTGCGATACGCTCCCCAATATAACTTTGGCTTGATCAACTACATTGCGCTAGGTAGGGAAGTTGAGTGCCAAAAAGAATACGCTTCATATTTGGGGCAGAATCGGCCAAAAGAGCATTTCAAGACTTTAGGCAACAGCTGCTCACTGATAGCGCTTTGCAAGAGCGGTGTGAGCTCAATTAGTCACAGCTACACGATCAAGTGTCTCCCTACGCGTCAGTTGTGACTTGTGCAGCTCCATACCTCTGTAGCATGAGAGGAAGATCGTAATATGATCGCACAAAAAAACCGCTGTATACATAGATTTCAATTTTTCAGATACTTCTATGACCCCCAAAAGTTTCATTGGTAAGACAGACCACAACACATCTTCTCAGTTTCCCCTTTCACTAAACAGCCGCAAATTCAACATTTTCCAAAAAGCCCGACGGTTCATGGTAACCGTGATTCATCATGCACCTCGCGATCCTCTGACATTTTGTAGCTTAAGGGTATTCTAAAACGATTTGGAATAGCCGTTAGCGGAAAACCCAGAGATGGAATGCCACAGGTAATGAATCAAGTTGACTCGCTTGTACAGGTGTTTTCAGATTTATGATATGTGTGGCATGAAAACCCCCCTAACGGAATTTTTTAGAGCTAGATCTGCGTTACTCGGAAAAGAAGTAACAAGATATGGACCCGCGAATGGTAACGCGTCTTTTTATGTGATGAGCTGAGTTCATCCATTGCAGAATTCGTCAAGCCTTCATAAGTGCGCGGTCTGGATTTGACAGATTACCAAAGGATTTCATCAAAATTCGGGCCCTCTTTACATGACGCGGCCGCTCAAATTGACACCCCCGTGTTCATCGTTTATTAAGCCTCGCTTGTAGGATGAGAGGTTTCAAGCTTCTTCTTAAGCAATACAGACTGACGTTAGCAAGCATGACCACAGTAATAGACCCATCAGCCTCATCTTCTCGCATTATGCTTGCTGGGTCAAATTGTGTCCCGTTGCCAAGTTCAGTGCCTCACACAAAGAGACCGCCTTGTAGTTGCATTTGAGTTCTCACAGCTGCCAAGCTTCTACTTGATCAAAACTATCTGAATATGTGACTGTCGGGATCGCACATCGCTGCCACTTGAAGAGCCACAGGATTTCCTTCAGAATGCGATAACGTGCAACCCTGCGATGGAAAAGGATATCTTGTTCATAGTCGTTTTCTGTGATGTCAGGAGCTGCCACTTTATCTTATCCCGCGTTAAGTCCTCCTGCGGTGTTGCTGGTTCCTCTGGAGGGTTTCCGAAACCTGCGAAGCCGTCATCCGTTGTGCACATGAAGTCTTCGTTGCTGATTCCTTACTCACTGGAAAAAACAATCCGTCCATTGCCCCGACCCATAGCTGTCGTGCCAAGCTTGCTACTGTAGAGCTGGATCAAGTTGCAGAGAGGGTCCCTTTGGCACCAATAACCGAGAATCGCGTCCTGAAACACTTGAGAAGACAGGCGAATAAAGATCAGTCTGGTGTTTGTTATTGTATTTTTATAGAATCACAGGGCCTCCGTTGTACTTTTTGACACAAAGTCCGTATTCAATCTGTTAGCGAATGGACACTGAGCTCATCATCGTTCCAGACGGGACTCATCTGGCATTTGTCGCGTTTTCATGTTTGAGTAGCTTTTAGCCAAGAGATGCGGATTTTGACACAATCAGAGTCGAGAACAAGCAGACGGAACGAGGTCAACAAGGAGAGGAATTGAAACGACAGCATGCTTACCAGGTGGTGCCTGAGATGCATCTTTCACTATTGTGTCGATGCTTTCGTACTGTGGGTCCCACTGTATTATGCTTCATAGGAGCCGCTGTGTACTCATGGATAGCGTTCCCAATACAAAATGATATTTCTGAACGTCAATTCATAACGAAGGAGGTTCAATTCAAGACGCTGGCTGGGTAACTCTCTCTTCTCTCTCGATCTGCATCTCTTGAACAGACATCTTGAAGAACTTCATTCCCATTGCTGGAATGGCTACAAAAGATTTGCGTTTCCAGCAGACGAATTGAAGCCAATATCGTAAGATCGATCTCTGTTGCATAGGAACGTGTATCCTATCCAATAGTTAGCGTCTTCTCAATAAAGAGGGTTGTCAACGCTGCAACAATCTCTGATTCATTCTTTGACACCAGATGCTCCCCGCGTCACCGGAATCCAGAGGAGGACCAATTCACCCTAGGAAATTATTCGCTCACCACAATTGACTCCTTGGACTCCCTGATGGTGCGAATTGAAACTGTTCTCAACCAATTCTTGTTCTCTCAGGTTTTTGGAAAGATCTCTGATTTCATTGATTCAGTGAATTACATTAGCTCTGGAAAAATCTCCTTCAAATCTGTACGTTTTTATCATTCAAGAGTCACAAACCGAAGGAAACAATTTTTTCTGTAATTTTGTCAGGATCTGTTGATTTCAACATTCGAAACGAATATTCGCATTTTAGGAGGACTTTTATCTGGACACATCTTCAGTACATTTTTATCTGATCAATTATCTCAATTCAGAGATTCTCAAATCCCTTCTAGCAATCACTCGCTGCTTTTTGATGTTTTCGCTGAATTTTCAGAAGACTACGTTTCATTTCAATACGACGTGAGTGATCATTCAAAATTATCGAATCTGGATTTTATGAAGATGTATCATAACGATAGGATCCTTACTTTTGATAGGATCCTTACTTTTTGATAGGGATCCTTACTTTTAAAAGCTGTCCAATTGGGGGAACGTTTGCGAGAGGCTTTCAACCCTGACACGAAATTGCCCCATAGTAGAATCAATCTGAAGTGAGTTTCTGCCAAGTGGATCACTTAAGTTCTTCCTGGGCTGAGATCTTCTTCTCTTCGGTTAGATATGGAATCGAATCCCCCGATCCTATTCCACACGTCATTTCCACAGCAGAAGCAGGAACGTTTCTGATTGAGTTTGGCGTTCTATCTTTAATGACGGGTGATCCTTCATTTTATGTGAGGAATATGTCACGCGTTACATATTACTTATAAAATTGTCACTCGTTTTATCACCCTGTTCCCCTTTTCTAGAGAACAGCGCGCAACTCAACGCTCCATATTTGGGACAATCGGTGAGCTGTTTTTGTTTCTTTCTCTTCTCTACTTCGTTTCAGTTCTCAGATTGATCTTATTGGAAGTTTGTGGAACGCAACAACTGGAAGGCTGCTCGACAAATCTAGTGGGATTGGTGCTGGAATTGATTCGTTTTTCGAATATTTATACAAAGCGGGTGTTTTGTTTGGAGATGTTGAATTAGCGAATGCTTTCGATGTTGTAAGTGAGTATTAGCTCTTTCCTAGCTCACGTGATTTTTCTAGGCATCAGTTGCACTACGAAAGTATTGTCATCGACGTGGAGTCTATTTTTCTTGCGATATGGAATCAGGTAACATCACACCATTTATGTTTGATTTATTGTCACATTGCAGGACAAATAACTGGGTTTCCCCGTATGAATGCTCTTGGTGCTTTTTGGCCGGGGATCCTTGTAGGCAGAAGACGCCACTAGTTTCCATTCTATCAATAATTCTCAGTTGCAGTCTGGATCGATTGTAGACGCTCTTCAATCATATGTTGCTTATTTGAATGTTTGGATGAAATACGATGCACTTCCTGAAGGTAAAACTCTCTTCTCTGGTGACACGCTTGCTTCTGTCATTCTTCATTTCTGTGTCTCCAATTGATGATATCCCGTTTCTAGACTTCAATGTTTTACTTGGAGAGCCAGACGAAGTTAATCGCGGGTATCCATTACGACCTGAATTTTTTGAGTCCACCTTTGTTATGAGTCAAGCCATGAGTGGAAGTGATACAAATATAAGTGAAGTCGAAGTCTATCGCGATGTTGTTCTTCCAGCGTATAAGAAATTCAACGGAACGTTAAGGACTTCTTGTGGAATGGCATCGCAGCCAAGTATGTTACATCTCTGATCATGTGCCGGATGTTTGTATTGGAATGATTCATTTTTCAATCAGATGTTCGAAATCTTCATGAATTATCTGACCACATGGAGAGTTTCTTTATTAGCGAAACACTCGTGTATCTCTATCTCACTGTTGTCAGCTCTGATGTCATCAATCAACGTGTAAGATGCTTTCGTCTTACTTGAATGAATTTCCTGTTTCCTAGATTCCTGCCCCTCTTCGTGATTGTATCTTCTCAACAGAAGCTCACATCTTCCCTCTCCCTCTTCTCTATCCCAAGTACTATGTCGGACGGTCAGATCAACAAGGAGTTGACGATGTTCGAGATCGACTCTGTCAAATGACCGGTTCTCACATTCATTGTCACCCGACGAGTCCATAGGGTTTCGATCTCAATGTTTGTCAAAACAATGTCCGTCTTTTTCATGTTCACCTTCAAAATTAGAATTTTAGCGTTTCATAAAATGAAGAACAGAAAATTACTCCTTCATCTTCTTCTGTGCTGATTCTTCTTTTGGCGTATCGGGAGGCCTGACGACAAACCGTTGTTCGAATCTGCCGACCATCATCCAAATTACCTTTTTGACTTCGCTCGTGCTTTCGGACCCCAATAAGGAGCGGGATTGGGGAGCCACTTACAAACACCGCCTGGTGTCTTAGACATAGCATCTGGGTGTGGATCGAAGCAGATTGGGGTTTCCGTTCTAAAAAAAATTAGAAACTGAGGAACACCAGAATGCACGGACCACCTACGATATTTCTTTTTTCAAGATTTCATATTTCTCTGGGTTTTTTGGCGGATGCTCCTGAAAATGTTTTGCGTCAACGGGCAAGGAATTATCAGTGTTGTACCTGAGCCCACTTCCGGAGAATGTCAAAAACAACAGAAGGCGGTGCGTTGGTTTTGATCGACTGCGGCTCACGATGGAAATGCGTCGCTGAGAATCCAAGGTTGAGTAAAGCAGACCTGAAAAGTGGAAATCAATATTTTACAAAAGTGGAAATCAATATGACATTTTATAAAAGTGGAACTCAATCTAAGCAACAAAGTGATGAAGGAAGTATTACTTGAACAATGACGTCTTGATTGCTTCCACTTTAACTCGATTCATCAAAGACGGAAGATGATAATAAAGTGGAACATCAATGCCTTCTTCAGATATCGCAGTAAGAAGACCACGAATTTTGGAATTCATCGTCATTCCTGAAAGTGGACCTTCTTCATTAACTTCATTCAATAGAGAGAGACAAAGATCAACGAACTCCTGATAGACACAATTCTTATATGTTGACACACAGGCGAGCTTACTTTGTTGTACAGAGGTCCAGAGAAAAAGGGCCCCCCCACCCAAGTACCTCTTCCTTTGCATTCGTTACAAGCGTCACCAGTTTTCCACCCTGTCGGCATTTGAGCAACCTTAAAGTGGAAGGCGCCTGGTTTGTCTGGTTTCGGTTGAGCAATTCCCAATGGGACAGTCGAGAACGCATCACAACTCGTGCATTGCAACACAAGTGACGACAAGGACGCCAGCAGTTTGCAGGTGGATGGAGATTCCCGCACACGAACGAAACAACGAACGTAAAAATCGACGCTGCAGCACAGAAGAGGCTCGACGGCTCGTTTGTGTCGCGATGCGGCAGTCGCGACGGCGTTGATAAGAATTCGGAGCGACATTTCGTGCGCGTATCGGGCCTTCACTGCAGTCCCGCCGTATTTGTAATAACTGACTTCGGGATTATTTCCACATAGAATTGGCATGTCCGTGGAAGTAATACACAAGATTCCGCCATCTGCTACTGATTGAACCGCAGCATCTAGAAAATCTCCCACGCTTCCATAAGGATCGAGATCGATGACATCGAAATGAGAAATTTGAGTGGAAGCATCAATTGGGACTTGAATTGCTGGTGAATCTGTTGATCCGACAGCCGGCAGAATAAACGCTCTAGTTGCGTTAATCCCACCATAACGGGACATGTACATCAGTTGATTTGCATCAGAACATACAGCTGAAGCCACAAAGGGAAAAGGTGGTCTCGAAGTAGCATTCCAGTTGTCTGAGCGTTCCACTGATCCTACCTCTCAATTTCGTTTCATCTACCTGATTTCTTTCTCTATTTGCTTCTATGAGACGCACTGCTTTTGCGTCTAAATCTCCGACCACAACCAAATCAATCACATCATCAAGTTCCAAAGCGTATCGAATCGAACGCAGGCCAGTAGCGCCGAACGACTCCAAAATCTTAAGTTTCGTATTTGACGGTTCTTTATCCGACTTGGCGCTCTTTACATGTTCTTCGTTTCTTCGAAGAGTTGCGAACGCACGGATAGCGAGCACTGATAGATCGCGGTTAAAGACTTGCACTGGGTTGTAGAAGACGTCGTTAGCGTCTCCATTGAAAATATGAGCTTTGCCCTCCTCAACAAGGCCGTTCTCATCCACACTTGGCAGATGACAATTTGGCTTGGACGCGCTCATATGACCCAACAGACTTCAGGACTGCCGCCTATTTTTGTGGAGCCTGAAATTGTAAAGCGCTTCTATACCTATATAGAGCACGATGACTAAAGGCCAACCCTTTCGGATTGACAGTCTGTGATGTTCAGCCATTATTGGACTGCTTTTCAACCTGCTTCTTGGAAAATTGCAGTATCCGTCCAATGGAGGAGATTCCCTTTTCGTTGAGGCAATCTTCATCTCCATCTCTAGGGTCTGTGAGCACTGAGAATACCAACGATAGGAAGGCCAGATTTTTCTGTAACTTTGATCAACATCCGACGCCTTCCACAACCACATCCTCCATCGTTGATCTTTTTCTTTTCTCCAACTCAACTTCAGCAGATCTCTCTCTATCGCAAACATCTAAGCGAACAAGGCCTCCCAAAAGTGGAAGCTTCCACGGAATAAATTTCGGTTCAAAGGAATCCCTTCTTTCTGGGCAAACCAGCGCTACACTATCCCTCGTTAACCCGCCACGAATTCTGACAAGAACCTCAAGTGACACCGCGTTCGAGACATTTTGTTCCCAGACATTGCGCTGTCTTCAGGAATCCCCTCTGCTTGCACCTTCCGTTCCAAAACAGTCTCAATCGGTTCCCCAGTCTCCAGTGTTTTCTACTTGCTTGAATGGTCCCTGCATGCCAATGGCTCACAACCTTCCCAGTTCTCGTTTTCTAGAGGAACCATCTGGCCGCTCTGAATCTCAGTGGCGTCCTCTGGATACGAACAAGACTGAAAATCATGACCGTCACGAACTTCAAGGCGTTTGGAATCTCAGTCGATCTGACGACGCATCAACAACCAGTTTCGACCCTCAATCATACGAAGCGCTTCAAGTCACATCTCCACCAGCTGAGAAGGATTTATTATTGGACCATCTCAGGGAGCGTTTGCTGCGTCACACCAGAAGTTGGACTGCTTCACTTTTCCCATTCATTGGCAGTGCGACGCCTCCTCCAGACGACAAGGTCAAATCCGAAGCTCCAAACCTCCCAGAAACGACGCGCGCAGATCAGGGAGCCCAAGAAGAGGGACTCAGCATGACGCTTGAAGAAGAAGCCGCGCGCTACTTGCTTCCTCACTGGTCTGTCTCTTTAGCCCAATGGAGGAAATCGGAGGGAAAGTCGACGTTGCGGGCTTCTGTCTCTCAGACTCGCCGAGAACAGATTAAACTTCTGAGACATCCGTTCATTACACTTCATCATTTTGGGACTTCAGCGCTTGAATTTATCAAATCTTCTTTTTCATATTTTGTTATTCATCGCTATATCCGAGGAATTGTTTTTCCACTTCTTATTTCTTTAATGATTCTAAATTCCATTCCTGGGCCCCATCAACATCTGGGATCCACACTGACCTTCAACGCTGCATTCATCACATGGTGGGTGGGATTGGGTGTCCTCAGCTCCATCGGTCTTGGATGTGGCCTTCATTCAGGTGCGCCATCAAGCCAAAACAACATATGCAGCACTCGCATTCATCATTATAGCACGCAATGTCTTCGTTGCTATGTCTTTTTGTTTTCACAATATTTCTTATTTCTTAGGAGTCCTGTTTCTCTTCCCTCACATCTATTCTATTTGTTTGACAAGCGAAGTCTGTAATTCGTTGAATTTCGATCCTTACATCTCGATGTGGTCAAACCACAAACCACCCGGATTCGTTTTTGAGGTGCGGGGTTCTGATTGTCTCCCCAAACTGTGTACGGCTGTCTTTCTGTCAGTGCGGAACTGGTTCTCCTGCCCCCCCGGATTTCTTGGGTCTTCTTTACAAATGCCTTCCTGCGTCGCTCCTGTGGGGTTTCGGTACAAGTTTGGGAGAACTTCCGCCTTATGCTGCAAGCTTCGCTGCCGCTCAAACGAAGCAAGATGATTTCGAGGAATTCAACGCTGAATTGAATTCTGTCGACAAGTCAGTCAATTGAATGTTATTGAGCTATAGTTGATTTCTGCGTCTTGTTAGGAGCAATTCGAAGTTGAAACGGGCAAAACAGTTCTTTGTACATTCTATGATGCACTTAATTGAGCGTTATGGAGCACTTGGTGTGTTTCTGTTGTCGTCCTGGCCAAATGGTACGGGCTACACCAAAAACTGATCTTTACTTCGATGGTCCTCGCTTTCTTTTCTTCTGTTTTCAGCGCTTTTCGATGTATGTGGCGTGATTTGTGGCCATTTTATGATGCCGTTTTGGTCTTTTTTCACTGCCCTCGTCCTTGGAAAGGGAGTCGTCAAGGTGCTTTCCCAAACTGCTTTGCTTATTTTTGTATTTTCTGAGCGATTCGATACAGTAAGATGTTCAGAATTAAATGGTAGAAATTCATTCTCTTAGAAACGTGCCCATCTCATTACTTTGCTTGCTGAAATGCCGCCGTTTGCGTCTCTTGTTAATCGTCATTTCGGGGGCCCAGCGCAGTTGGAAAAGTTTGTCGTTCAAGAAATCCAGAGCTTCCGACGTTCCGCATCTGCAGCTGCAACAGCATCCATGAAAGGACGCTCGATCATCCCGATTGTCTTGACGGTCGTTATATCGTCTTTTATGGCATACCTTGCATCGACAGTGATCGAACAAGTGGCTCAAGCAAGAGTCAAGGTAAGAAAATGCTTCTAGCGATTCTCCTAATTTTGATTCTCTTGATGTTCTTTAGAATTTTGATGAAAGGCTTCTGATGTTAGCAAGGGAAAAGGAAATCAAATCAGACGAGCAGCAGTGCCCTGTTGAAGCCGGGAGATGAAATCAATGGTCTCTGCTGCTTTTTTTTTGACTGGTTGAACTTTTAATGCTGGCGACTAGCTGTACATTCGGGCATTGCAGAAACTTGAGTGCTACGAGTTGTCTGTCGTGGTTATTAATTAATTGAAATTGCAACACTGAGCGACAGAATGCTACGAGAACCTTGTTGTTGGCTTCAGAAATAGGGTAAAAACCAGATGTCCCAAAATGGAAGGCTGGATTTGATCAAGATCACAATCCATTCGTGAGTGTGTTCAAGCCAATTCGTTTCAGTTTTCACAATGAATTTCATTGAAACTCAGAAAAAAGAAAACCTTCGGCGGATGAACTCCATTCATGTTTGAGAGAGGCAACCACTCAACAGAGTGTTAGCAATTTTCGCTGATCGACTTAGTGTTTCTACCAATGCTAGCAATTCTCAATGCCAGGCGTCCCCCTACAGGAAGGCGAAGTGAATAGAGAAACATTTTGAACAAAGCTTCTTAAAGTTCTTCATCTGAAGAGTCTTTCTGCCTCCTTAATTGAACCCCTCGTTGTTGTGGAGACCTCGAACGAGCGCGGAACGAACTGGCATCGGCGCTTGATCTCGGCTGCGCTCCAGAAGCTTGACGGAAATCCCGCCAGTCTGCTTCGCGGCGACGGAATGAATGCACAGCGGTTGCTTCGTCGGGACGAAACTGCGTTCTTTGGGGCTGGTTGGTTGGTGAAGGGAAGAACTGGCTACCACTGCTACGTTTTGACTGCTGACTGCCCAGTTTGACAGAACCCCATACCTCATCCCCTGACCCACTGCTTTTCTTGCTTCCAGCAGACGGCTGGAGCTTGAGTTTCGGTCGCCTTCGGATTGTTCCGCTCGACGACTGTAGATCCAATTTTGGTATTGATCTCATCTTCCCATATCCCACATCACTATCATAATGAATCACAGTGCCAGTCAATTCCGGGGATGAAGGAACGTGATGATGTGTGTACGAGGAGACTGAATGACGACTGGACATCCGTTTATACAATGATGCTCTACTGGAATCAGAACGATTTCCTTCAAATCTTGTTTTCCCTTTCATTCCAGATCCAGATGAAATAAACGGAACGAAACTTTTGTTTGATCCTTCTTCCCAGGTGTTATCGTCATCATTCATGATTTCTCCCCAGCGTCCTTGAGTTGCGGCGAAACTTGGAACTGCGAGGACGCTCTCTCCAGATTCTTCAGAAGCGAATCGTTTCCTGTTTGGATTCCCATCTACCAACTGCAAAGAAGGAAATGGAATGGGGTACAAATCCTCCACTTTTAAACAGGTGGTTGACCGATTTTACACTTACCACAGCTGAACCTTGTTCCTTGAACTTCTCTAAACGGTTCCTCTTTTTTCTTTTCCGCTCTTGTGCAAATATGTCATCAATGTTAGTTTGGCGATCTTCGATCTCATCTTCCCATACCGCTTCATAAGCCGCTAAACTTGCCAAAATCTCATCTTGGTCTTCAAGTTGAGATTCTTGCAACCCTTTCTCAATTTCAAATATTTTTTGCACGGCTTTCACTTCTTCCACAACCTCTTCTTGTCTTGAAGAAATTTCTTCTTTGATTTTTTGCATTTCTGCTGCCATTGCCGTATTTTCCTCTTTCAAACGGAACCACTGGACAAGCTCCCCTGCTCTGGAGATTTCCCCCGGTTGTTCAGCTTCTAACAACTTCGGCTCCCACTGTTCCACCCTTTTCATGGTCAGGTTGATTTCGTTTCGTAATGCTTCCACTTTCTGAGTCTCCTTCTCTTTCTTGTGATCTCTGAAAATCATACCAAGTTTCATTCCAATCAGTTTGGAGCACTCACTTGAAATATTGATAGACTTGCGTCATTCTTCCTAAATTGTGGCTCATTGCCCGCAACGCCATGTGCAATTCAGTCAGTGTAATGGGGTCGATGAACGAAGCGGGGTTCGCCATCGATTCCAATAATTCTTCTTCCATAGTAACCGAAGCGGTCTGCATATTAAACGCCTGAATCTTTGACTGTGGGTCAGGAGGGTCACACTCATCCAGGAACCAGTTGACCAGGAAGTAGATGTTTTGGGACTCAACTGCCCAATGCACGTGTTTCGATACCGCCTTAGGATTCCCTCGCGAGTATTTTTCGAGAAATTCTGTCGCATTTGGTTGAGTGGGATCCTCAAAGAGATTGTAGTTATTGCTAACGCCTCGTTCCAGCGTCTTCAGATACCCGAAGTTGTTCTTTGGCTCAAGCTCTTCCAT